TGCTGTGTTCCTAGAAGTGAATGGTCTCAGTTAATGGAGTGCTCTGATGATTTTAGTGAGAAGGGCAATATGTGAGTGATGGTCGAGGTAACTATTGATTAATCCTTGTTGAGCTGCAGGTGATGAAAGGCGCGAGACAATAATCCTCACATTAGTCTTCCCCGCTCAGACAAGAAAAGAGAGAACAAAATCAGGCTGCGGTGTAAGTCTATTTCTGATTTGCACAATATCCATCCACTATCATGTTGCTAGGACCCATGTTGAGAGCTGACGCCGAATGTGATATTGAGGCATGTGGCTTGCATATCTAGAAGCAGGCTCTGAGAAAAGACTCAGCTCTCAGCCACTCACGCCCGAGCAAGCAAGACAGGTCAATAGTCAGATGCAATCCACCAGCTGACAATTTAATTGGATATGTACCGGGTGGGTGTGTGTCACATGAATTACTGTGTTGTGGTGTTGGTCATAGACTTGGTTCAAGCCACCTCCCAGTATGTCTGAAGGAGAATGGTACGCATTCACATATGTACTAACCAAGTGATTTGACTTACTCGAATCATGGCATATAAAACAATATATGTTGTTTATTCATGGATTGGAACGAACTGTCAGTCTCTTGTAAGTTCACTGTGTCATAAACACTCTCATTTCGGGACGTGGCTATAATTCTAATAATTTATGCCATACAGGACTACATACCAGCCCCTTTGCAGCTCATCAAATCCAACCATCCAATAAAAGACGCCCAATGACCAGAAGGTAGCAGTGAATGTGCTTCCTCTCCTCACAGACTCACAGTCTCCGGTGCTACTATCTCCTTGGGCGATCTATACCTCGTTCCGTCGTTTTGGCTGAGCCTTTCCAAGCCAGGACACACCACGATCCTACGGCTTTTTGTAATCGATGCACTGTTGCTAAAAACAAACCCCAAGTCACTCGGCTGCGATAGAACGACATAGCCCAGTTTGGTACACTCAAGAATGACAGCCTGCAGATGGTTCATCTGATCCTGTAGGCTAGCAATGTCTTGTGTAACAAACACCCCCAAGAACTGGTTTAGCTCATTCGCAAGAGATAGGGCCATAGGGGAAGCTTCTGTCACTGACACCGGGAGTGGTGTTCTCTCATCCGGGTTAGGATGGAGAAGCAGAGCAGAGAGAGTGCGCCACCTTGAACGCGCCAAGGTAATTGCTAAAAGTTTGATTAGCTATTTATCTAATCAGGCTCTGGGTTAATGTGGGAGTGTCTTACCAGGATTGTTTGCGTTTTCAGCTGAGTGGCTTCTTTGCGTCAGTGTTGCAACCTCTAGTGGAAGCATGGACAAGCTGCTGCCAGAATTGAAATCGAGGCTCCGAAAGATGACATGCGAGAGGACATGGCGGAGTCCAACTTGAGATGTCTTGGGGCTGAGGCAAATCGCAGCAAGTGTGTCTGCCTGCAGTCCTGACGCTTCTGGTGAGTAGCCAATATTGGTGAGGCTCTGAGCCACCTCAGCAGGGTCGGCCTGGACTTGGGGTCGACGGTAATAGTTCTCGACGTGCTGATAAATGAGTTCGGATAATGAGCGCAGCTCTGCTTGGAGGTCCTTGTCCGGAGTTGCCTCGAGAAGAAACTGGCTGAGTTCAGCATCGTGCCTCGACGATGAAACTATGACCTGTGTCCCATCCTTGGGTTCCGTGTATTTTTGATCTGCTAAAACGAATCCTTCGTTTGCTGGCTTGCCTCTCCGCCGTCTCCGGAAAAGTAGAAAGGCTACTATGAGTCCCAGAGCAAGGCCAGCAACGAGGCAGCCAATGGCAACTCCAGCGACAGGGCCGCCTTTGAGTCCATCCGGGGATCTTCCCGATTGATCTTCCTTGCCAGTTGGCTTTTCATCATTCAGACCTGTAGATGATGCGCTGGATAAGGTTATATCTTGGCTTGCTTGAGTTGTCTCTGAAGACCCCGTGCTGGTTGATGTTGGCACCGTCTGCGTTATAGTTTCTAAAATCACGTTGGAGATTGTTAGGCCTCCAGCAGGGGCTGTATTAAGGTCTTCTTGGACAATAGTGGACAACGTAGTGTTGAAGAGCGTCAAGACTTTATTAGTGAGTAGCACGACGGTTTCACCCAACACTAGAGTCGTTGAAGCCATCTTTGTGAGTTAGAGATTAAAATTCTTAAAAAGGCAAGAAATTCAGGAGACTGAGACGGGGCAGTCGTTGCTGAAAGGTGTCAAGGGCGATAATAAGAAAAAGAACGAGAAAGACTCGAAAGCTTTCAGGGCAGGCGTTGCTTTTAACCACCAGCAAAAGCCTCAGTAACTGCCATTTAATTGCCACCACCAAGTTCCTCTCCTGTCCTCTCCTCTCCGTCGAGGTCCAGCTAGCAGCATCCCTTGTCAAGCCACTCAGCACAGGGGAACATTGAGATGCATGTTTCATTATCAGGCTGAGTCCAAAGGCCTAGTCTGTCTTTTCCCAGCCGACCTGCTGCATATTGACCCGCACACCCTTAGAGGTGCGTCCAGCAAACCAATATCACCAAGTCCAGCTCCGACGGCTGAAAATAGGCCTATCGCATGGGCCACTTCCGAGCCTTGTCACGTTTCTGGCAATAAGGCTCTCAGATTATCGTTTGATTCTTCCTCAGTTGCTTCTACAGAGAAATCGAGCAGACTATCAAATGGAAGAGCAACCAGACTTGGCTATCTCTGTGGACCTTGGTACGACCTTTACGGGTGAGTAGCGTTCCCGCAAGTACCATAGAAAAACTGATCCGTTCTAGGTGTCGCCTGGATGAGGCATGGAATCCCTATCCAGGTCGTCAACGACTGGCCCGGGAGCGACGACAGAGGTGATCGAAAAGTCCCCACGACAATTGTATACAACGCCGATGGAAGCATCTCATCTTGGGGATTCATGTGTGCGGACGATGACCATGATACGAGCAAGACACGGAGGGACTTCTTCAAGATCTTTCTAGATCCAGAGACCCTCGACGCAGCACAGCATCAGGGTCTAAGCAACGTCCCGCAAAGCACTGCCCAGGCTCGCCAATTCGTGACAGATTATCTGAAGCAGATATATGCGCATATCAAAGATAGCATAGAAATGCGCATGGGCATAAAACATGTCGGTGGGTGGGACGGCATGGCCGTGCTGTTCCTCTTCAGTGCGCCCACGACGTGGACGAGTATGGCTATCATAAACACCTTCAAAGGCGCAATTCATGATGCTGGATTTGGAACTGGAGGCCCAAAACATTCAGCATTGGTTGACCTCACAGAGTCCGAGGCCGCAGCTGTAGCAACTCTCAAGACTGGAGCTATAAGTCTCAAGGAAAACAGCGTATTTCTGACCGTGGATGCTGGTGGTGGCACAACGGACCTCGCTCTGATGCGAGTTACTTCCACAAACTCGAGCTTTCCACAGCTTTCTCAAGTCGCTGCCGTCAGCGGTGTAGGTGTTGGCTCGTCACTTATTGATCGCGCATTCGCAAGACTTGTTTCGCAGAGAATGGCCGCGAATCCCGACTTCAAGCTTCCGGCTGATTTTGCAGCACGCATGGCTCGAAGCCAAGGATTTAAGAGCGTCAAGCACAAGTTTGGCGAAAAGGTATACATGCAACCAATATACAAAATCATGATGGAAGGTGTAGGATACGATGTGAGCCACGAAGGCCTCGGAGTTCAAGATGGACGCATGCTTTTTACCAAGTCAGTTACTGTCCCGCTACTAAAAACACTCTCTCTATTTCGACTTACTAAGTATGATTGATCCGCTGCAGGCAAGACATTCAAGCCCTCTTCGATGTTCATATCGAAGCAATCATGGCCCGAATTCACAAGCGACTTGACTGGTTAACCGAAAAAGGTCTTTCAAAACAAGTGGTAAGGCGCTCCCGTTTGAAGCTCGACCTGAGCTCATTGCGTATACAGGAGTATGTGATTTTGTCCGGTGGGCTGGGTAGTTCAGCCTACGTCCGTGAGGTTCTCCAAGAACACTTAGCCAAGCTGCAGCATCCAAATGCCCGAAACATCCTTGTTATACCCTCCCAAGACCCGCAACTAGTGGTCGCTCGTGGAGTACTCGAGAACAAGCGACAAAGGATGGAGTCGGGGAATAAATCCGTGCTCAGCACTTGGATTGCTCGAGCGAGCTACGGTGTAATCGTTCAGGAGGTCTATATGCCTTCACGACACTTTGATGAAGAAGTCCGACAAGATCCGTGGGACCCAAGTGTGAAGTGGGCGACTAATCAGATCCAATGGTTGATCAAAAAGGTATGCTTCAGGCCTTTCTTTTTGCTCACAGACTGGATTGACAAAAGCCCACAGGGAGATACCGTGGACCCGGACTCTCCGTTGGTCAAACGATTTGAAATCAGGCTGAAAGATGGAGACACTACACGCGCGTGGGACGCGGAAATTGTGGTGTCCAACAACGAGGCCGAATGGCTTCCTCGAAGCCTTAAACAAGCCGGCGTTATGAGACTTTGTTCTGTAAAGAGCAACCTCGCTGGCATCGAACAACACCAGCTCGTCCTCAAAGAAAAGCGAGGAACTTGCTTCCGGCGAGGACACAAGTTCTACATTTGTAGGTTCGATATTCGAGTGATTGTTGCTCCAGCAGACCTGAGATTTGAGCTCTGGTTTGGGGGGACGAAGTTCTCTGGCAATCACCAGCCTATCTCGGTCCAATGGGATGCAGCTAAAGGTTGAGAGACTAGGTGACGAAGATGGAACAAAGTGAGCGGCCTCATTCTAGACCACGAAACGCTGAGGAGATACCCCGGCTACAGATGAAAATTGTATGTACAATGATATATCCTCAGATGACTAGCGCCTTATAACCATACACTATCCTGGCCATTCTCCAAAAAAAAAACGCCTTTGTCGTGACTTCGACTTGCCCGATAATGAAATAGCTTTGCGACTCTTCTGCCTCCTTTTCAAAACTTCAACCTTCTTTGAGCAAGCTCTCAGTATAATGGCTTGTAAGCACGTGGTGAAATACCGTTCATGTCGACCTCTTGAAAGGATGCGCTTCGGTGTTGAGAACCCATTCGTCAAGGCTGATGACGTTAGGCTCTGAAAAGAGTAGATAATAGTACTTGAGAGTCTCGGAAATCCAGAAGCTCTCCATCTCGTCCTTCAGATTGTTCTCTGTGCCCATCACGTCTTCGATGGCGCTGTTGGCGAATTCGGTGCGTGTAGCGGCAATTGTAGCCTGGAACATCTTCCAACCCTTGTCCATCCAGGTAGTATCGCCAGTAATGCGATACATGTACCAAACAGATTCAATCGCCTCGGGTCTGTAACTTTACGTTAGGAGAGGCAACAAAAGTATTAAAAATGCAAACTTACCGAAGGATGTAATTCCGGTTTATTATATCGGTGTAGCCTGGAGGGAGCTTTTCTCTTTGAATCCTCGACTTGACGTACTCCTCGTGCGTCGCGGGCCTCTCCAGAGGTACGTCATCAGAAGCAGCAACTTGTTCTGCGTTTCTGACGGCATCAAAGCTGTCTACGGTGACAGGCTTCGGCGCGATGGTCTTTTCCGTTGTATCTTGGACAGCAGCGGGTTGGTTTTCTAGCTCGACTGGAGCAGGCTTGGCTTTCTCCGAATCAGTCTTGCCTGGATGAGCCTTTTCTGCTTCGGTATTTTCAGATCCGTCCTTGTTCAGCCCAATTTTCTGCTTGAGTGAATCGGGGAGCGTTGATCCAAACTCCGAATCGTCCTCTTCCATACTCCTATCCAGCTCAGGCATCGGGATTCCTGCCCGCTTGACCACCTTTGGGGGATTGACGACAGGCTCCGGTCCCTTATTTGAATCATCGGGCTTGTTTTGTTGGGCAGCGGCGGGAGCAGCTCCTTCTGCGAGTTTCCTCTGAGCCTCGCCGTCTGACCATTTCCTAAACTCACTATCGCGCCATTCTCTGTTAGGGTCGAGATCCTCATACCAACTCTCTTCACTGAAAGCACACTTTTCCAGGGCAGGGCAAGCGACCAGGTGAGCATATTCAGGCATTATCCCGGTAACTGTTGACTGATATGCCCACACGCAACCATCAGTGAGCTTTTTGGCCTTGTCGATATCCCCATCCCGACCAAAGATCTTACCGCCTAGTCCATACATGCCTCCAACGAAGCATGCGAGATGAGCCATGTCATAGGTCTTTAGCCATTCTGAGTCACCCCGGCTAGAAGTCGTCAACTTTCCCGTGAAGAACACATCCCAGCCGTCGTCTTTGATCATAGGTCGATAAAGCAACCATTCGTTAATCGCGTCGATGGTGTTCTCGTAGAGCGGGCGATACTTGGGTTCCAGACCATTCAAGAGCAAATATTGCTAAGTTTACGTCAGACAAAATTATCATGAAGAATGGTGAAGGAGCAACATACCTTGGGGAAATACTCGTAGGCTGAATCTTGGGCACCTCCCATATGGTAATGTCCGTAGTTAGGGCTACTTGAAACTAGACCCTGAGGCTTGCAATCCCAGTCTGCCGAAGAACCATCTGCAGCAAGAGGGGGCGCCTGTTGAGGCCCAGGTCGAGCCGGTGTCTGATCACCCGCTTTAGTTGCCTCATCGGTATCTACAGGAACATCGCGACGTTGGAGCTTGTCCTCCCAACGACTATCGGCCTGGGGGAGCTGTGCGGGAGAGGCTACATCTCCGCCCAGCTTCGTGGGATCAAATCCTTCAGGTTCCTTAGTCAGGTCGGCAGAATTGACTTGCTCCCGGGCCTCCTGGCTGAGGCTTTCAGTCCTAGTGGTAGCAGTCCTGTTGCATCCAGAGGCATCGATGCGTTCGGGGAAAAGCCCTGGAATATCAGTACCCGCTGCTTGCATCTCAATCAAGGCGTCGGTGATACGGTCAACAGCATCATAGTATTTGTTGGTACCCGTCAATTGAGCAAGGCGAGTGAACTCCATAGACAGAGTTCCAAGCTCAGCGATTCCAACAGTGCTCGCTCGGTGGGGTTGTGAAGCATAAGGCTCATGCCATCGATAATATAATAGGGGCATGCGGTTAGGCGTATCAAAAACGCCCATGAGGACCTCCGCAAGTTCGACGGCCTTATCCAGCAGAATCTTATACTGGCCAGAGGATCCACCGCTAACATCGTACGCAGCGATAAGGCCGCCCAAGTAGCGAATGGTAGTTTCAAAAACGGGAATGTCGTTACGCTCGGAATAAGTGAAGTCGACATTGGCGACGGCCTTGGCGGCTTCATCAAACTCCTCTTTCATACCAGCGATCCAAAGAGTATCAAGCGAATCGATGAGTGTCGCGCCCCAGCCACAAAAGGTGTCACGATACTTCATAGAAGCAGGCTTGAGTTCATCATGTGGGAATGCGAATTTTCGATAACCAGTCCAGGCCCGTTCAATTTCTGCCTTGACACGTTTCAATCGATCCAACCGGGTGGTACTTGTCTGTACGTCTTCAGGTTGGAAGTCGAACTGGATTCTGTTGATACTGGGAGCTGTGCCGGTTGGGACTGGTCTGATTGACTCAGGGGGGATAGGGAAGTTCTCCTTGGGCTTGGTCCAGTGAACCTTGGAACCATCAACGTTGACATCGGGAATATCAGGGTTGTCGGCCTGCTTAGGAGGGTCCTTGAAGTGAACATCGGGAATTTGTGGTGCACTTTGCTCCGCTGGCTGCTTGTGCTCTTCCTTCTTGTCGTCTGGCAGCGCAGCGTCCCCAACAGAGATAGGTTCATCGGCGACAGGCTTCTCTTCTGCCGGTGTATCGACTTTCTCTGAAACCTTCTCCGGCAATGCTGGTCCATCTTGAGGTACTGCTGGTTTGGGTTTATTGGCAGCGTTGGAATCCTGCTCGGAATCGGGAAGCTGGACGGGTGGCGGTACGACAGGCGGTTCAAAGGCTTCTTTCGAGCCCTGTACTGGGTCAGAAGCTGGCTGGCTTGGTTGCTTCACCGTTTCGAAGTGAGGAGACTGTGACCACGAATTCTGCATGAATCGATACAGCAGGAAGACCATAACCACAGCGACTATGGCATAAAATCGTCCACGCCGACGAAGTGGAAGCATTGCGATGGATCGTTGCTCGCCGAGGCGAGGCTTCTGGGGGGGCGATTAAGGCTTAGATAAAAGATTCAATTCGCACTGCGCCCTTCTATAAGGTGACGCGATGTTTCGCTAGAGGGGTCGCTTGATCTATATCGTCAGAGACTGTGGTGTCGCCTATGGTACTGAGCACATCAGCATTCCGTTTGGTACCAGACCAACTTGAACTGGCTTTCTTGTGCCTCCTTCTTTGTGTCGGGTTAGCCAAAAGAGGAAAACAAATAAGTCAAACTCCGACAAGAAAACGACGCAAAAGAGATGCAGATGGAGAAGACAAACAAGATAGCGAACGTTATAGGGTGTCGGGGGACAAAGACAAGAAAGGGCATTCTCAACGTGAGAGCTAGCAGAGGAAGGGGCCCGCCCTCCACCAAACTGACCAGGAGAATCCACATTTTAGTGGCATTGGTTGGCCAAAGATGAGGTAACGTCAGGGGCTTTATGGAGTCTAGCGTACACCCCTGGTGCTAACTTTAGTATCATCGCAGGGTCTTCCCGTTGCATTCCTGCAAGTTTAAAAGGCTCATTAATGAGCTCGTGGCGGATTGATATTGATTGTGATTACGTGCCTGTTTACTGTTGTATGCTGATATAAGGCGTCCTTTTTGGCTCTGAAACAATGTTGCTGTCAATGAATAACTCAGTGAGCACATCGTTGGGTTCTACGACCTTGATACTGCATCTGATTGAGTTAAGTTCCTGATAGTTAACTCGAAGCTACGTGGTACTGATCAGGGCCTAAATGCGAAACCGACCCTTTCCATTTACTTCTTCTCGGCACCGAGTATTCACATGTGTTTGTTAGAATCAGGATTAGTCTGTTTGGCTGTGCTCCGTAACTCAATTGCGTTTAAACTACCACCCAAAGCTTCTCACACGTGCATCCATTCCCAAACCGGTCATCCTGGACCTTCGGTCTCAACGGGGCCGTTACCGCGCCGCTTATGCTCCGTGTTCTAGATTTAACGGAGCCTCGACCTCCGATATCAGATTTGGTATTCCCACTTCTATTTCTTATCCACCTTGAGACATTGTCGTATAGTCACGAGGTAGATTTGATATTTCACAGGAACAGAACACACAATATACCAAACCACACAACGGGTTGCATCCATAATTAATTCAACGTATTGCATAAAGTTTATTGTTTTCAATCCTCCTATCTAATTGATATCCGGCCCTGGAACATAGATTTCTCCTCGATATTATAAAACATTACTATTGGCTGTAGTGCTTTGAATGCAGGAGCATATAGGGTATGCCCCTTGCTGTGTGCTTGTAGCTTCTTTGTAATAGAGTAGAGAAAGCTTACTGTAGTGACAAAAAAAATTAAATAGCAAGTCATCGTGGATAAGAATTCCTGATCTGTGTTCATATGAGAATCTTTGCTGTCTGAAATCGGATCCTGGTGATCCAAGTAATTGATATATTATTAATAGAGGTCTAGTACCTACAACAGTCAAAGAACAGCCTGAGATAGAAGTTCCAGCAGCATGGCAGCCACAGAAGTATATGATTCACCTTATACCGAACTCTTTGTCATTGAAGGTACTTTGGAGGGTGGGTTGCTGTCAACATCAAAGAATCTAAGACGTTTGCTGCTTATTTTCATCCGTCTTTGAACCAACTAAGGGCCATAAAATGTCAGGATGTCGCCCTTGAGAACCTCCCCAAGAAGGATGTGATTGACTTGTTGATATTTTGACTTATTTAGAATGATCTTCTAGAATTAGAGAACGAGTATAGTAAGGCCAGGAGTAATGTTAATAATGTCTTGTTCACTATAGATTAATGGATCACGCGTAGTAATACGTAACGCGCTATTCATTAAATAGAGAGCAAGATAACTCTAAGACTGAATGAGAGAATTGGATAAAGCATCTAGATGTAGAGATTAATCGCTCTGTCCTACATTTGCTAAAGCAGGCAGGTGATGAAGCAAATTTAGGTAAGGACACTCACTATACTGGCCCCCTTCTGAGGGTGACCATCAATATAGAAGTGAACCAGTAATGCAACTTGTGTAAAGTATTGAGAGAAAGAGATTATAAGCACGGCAGATATTGCACTCCTCTATAGAATTATCAACGTGTAAAATCAGACTCACGGTGCTCAACGGGGACTAAAGAGCTTGAGTATAGAAATTTGGGGTTACCTCTTTACCTTAATCCTATGAACATGAAGGTAAATAAAGATACGTTCTTATAATAATTGCCTCTATCCCCTGTGGCTTAGTTGGCTAAAGCGTCCGACTGTTATTAAATAGACAATCGGGAGATCGGAAGTTCGAGCCTTCCCGGGGGAGACAATATCTTTTTGCCAGTTAGAATTACATTAAGTAATAAGAGATCTATTTAAATACATATTTTAATTTTATAATTGTAATAAACTATAAATAGAACTCAACTAAATAGTTCTTTTAGTGTAAAACATATTTACTAGCTCTTGGCATATAGTAAATAGAGGTTGTCAAGTTTTAGAGGTCAGATAAGTCTAGGTATCATACAGATCTTCCAGCCCCTTGGCCAAATACTGCTCCTCCCACTTTTCAAGTCTATGTTTTCAGGATAAGCCAAGTTTTCCATTTTAATCCTTGATCATGCTCCATCTTTCATTATGATTCTTTCCCTTTATCTTCGGGGCATGCCACGTCCACGACCCCGCAGAGCACGCTGCGCAGCACCTGGCGGTAGCTGGCCAGGAGCCTGAGGCTTAGCACTCTCCTCGTTGCGGATAGTCTCGTCGACTCCAAGGATGAGGCAGCTGGCCTCGGTGGCAGCCTGGATAGCATTGATCTTGACAAGAGCGGGCTCCCAGACAAATTGCTCCATCATGTCAGTAACGCCCTCGTTCTGGAAATCAACACCAGCCCAGGTCTGGCCCCTTCGGTGCGCAACACGGAGCTTGTTGAGAATATCAGTGGCATCGAAGCCAGCGTTGTCGCAAAGCTGGCGGGGGATGATCTCAAGAGCCTTGGCAAAAGACTTGATAATAGCTTGCTGCTTGGTGGAGATGTTCTTATCAGCGAACTGGTGAAGGTATGCTGAAATCTCCATCTCAGCAGCACCGCCGCCGCCGACAATGAGATGGTTTCGGATGGCACGCTTAACGATCATGATGGCATCGTGCAACGATCGCTCAACCTCAGCAATAAACTGCTCAGCACCTCCGCGGAGGACGAGGGTGCAAGTCTTGGCCTCGGGACAGTCCTCGAAAAAGTTGAAACGCTCACCACCAATCTGTCGCTCCTCGAACTTGCCGCAGGAACCCAGATGCTCGGGCAGAATATCGGAGCAAGTTGATTGAACAACAGCACCAGTAGCCTGGACAACACGCTCCATATCATCAGCAGCCACACGGCCAGCACAGAAGACATCTCGATCAGCGAAAAATTGTGTGGCCAGGTCACCAATGGGCAGCTTGCTGAGCACAACCTTAGCACCAGTCTTGTAGACTGCTTCAAGCTTCTTGTAGATAATCTGCCACTCCGCATCGACGATTGCCTGGTACTCAGAAACCTGCTCAACACGGACCTCGGCGTTGTCCTTCTCTGCCTTGAGCTCCAGCTCGACGTTCAGGCATACGATCTTGGGTTGCTCGAAAGATTTTGGTTGTTGTTCGAAACCGGCATAGGAAAATGTCTTCTTGAAGGCGACACCGTTGACGAAGAGAGATTCAGTCAGGGAACCGCCAGGGATCTTCTTGATGCCGATGAGTTTCTCGTTGAGGTCGTCCTGGTCAAGGGACAAGACAGCATCAACAACCACTAAAATCAGTTAGCTCGATGACCAAGCATATGCACATTGGTGCTTTTGCGTACTCTTAGTGAAGAATGTAGTATTTCTCTTGATCAGCTTGCTTGTCATGGCAGTAGAAGCCAGCTTGATAAGAGTATCACGGCGGTTGCCCTCGTTTGTGCTAACGGCAACCTCCTTGATCTTGTTGACAGCCATCTGAGATGCCCTCCTCAGACCCTTAATGATAATCTGAGAGCTGACACCCTGCTCAACATGCTCCTTGACCTCCTTCAGGATCTCGCCGGCGAGGACAACGACTGATGTGGTTCCATCACCAACTTCGGCGTCTTGCGATCGGGCAATATCGACGAGAATTCTTGCGGCAGGGTGGACGATGTCAAGAAGCTTTGACCAGTTAGCAAGGGAACTGGAAGTGAATGGACATTTTGTCGAGCGCCTCGAACCTTCATCACGGTGGCGCCATCGTTGGTGATAGTTTGTCGGCCATTCTCATCAACCATCAAAAGGTCACCGCCGTAAGGACCTAGAGTGGACTTGATTGTAGCCTGGACGGCGAGACAAGCATTGATATTGGAGATTATCTGTCCCTTGCCCTGGGAAGTATCGGTTCCTGTAGGAAGGCGCTACGGTCAGTTATCTGTCGCGATCATATTTGCTGTCGTTGCGTCTTGTTTTTATCGTCTTCTTTTGGAGATGCCCCCTAAGAATCGAGGGGTGAAGCGGGCTGGCGGTGGGGTAAAACGGACCTTCCTTGAGGACGATAATCGTCGGCGTTTGGCCTCCGAAGGACATTTTGACGGTGATTGATCGACCCGAATCTGAATAGAAGAGATCACAGCCGTGTATAAAATATGTACAGGCTTAAGTTTCGCTCCGTCGTCGGTTGGTGGGGGAGGGAAACATGTTGGCGGGCTCAAAGTGGGAGGAGCTTGTGATGAGTGGAAGCTTCCAAAAAAAAATGTGGCAGCCTTCCACTTTCTCGCTTTCTCATCATGCCTTGTCCCAGTCGTGCACGGGGCATTTTGTATGGGAGTTAAGGGTCTTGTCTCAGCCAATCAGGTTACTGCTTTTGATTCGACAACCAGCCTCGTATCAGCTCATGACTGACAACTTCCCAGTACCTTAGTACCTATTAATGGTACTACAAGTAACATATAACCCAGAGTGTCAATTACACATGACTTACGTGGTCTCCTATAAATTGGT